GCACAACCTAAAGTATGCGGCCCTCGTGATGTTTAAATGGCAACCTTATGACATCGTTGTGACAACGTTTAGCAACAACGTAGAATCCTCAACCTTTTTGCAAGGTTGGTACAACGTTGTAGGAAGGTCGCTACGTTGAGGCAACGTTGTGTGTTTGTTGGGTGGACGAGTGCTGTAACTGGCAGAATATCTCACGGCTATCAGCCAATCAGATTCAAGAACCAGACACAACTGTTGTATAATATTTCATTCATTTTAACCTAAATTATATTAAACTGACTTAAAACAGCTTGCATAATTAAAAAAACAATAAGTCAGAAATATGAATAACCTAGTTTAATAAACAATAATTAACATTAACCATAAGTTGCTATAAATATAGTTTTACAATCTACTGTATGAATTATGAATTTAATTAGATCATGTGGCAACATCGTGCTACTATGATTTTACCATATTTGTTTATTTTTCAATTAATTAAACATTCAAGCATTCATTCATTCTGCTGAGGCGACCCTTGATAAAGCAGGAAATAAGTTGAATGTAAAGTGTGTAAGTATTCATAATTTTAAGCATTATCATTTGTCTTGCTTACAAACGGATGAAACCTAGTGTCTTTCAGGAAAAAATTACAAATAAATAAATAAATAAATAAATAACAAAAGTAAACTGACATTTAAATGAGAATATAACATTTCAAAACAAAAGTAACTAAAAAATAAATAAGCAATTACATTTAATTCACTGTAAGTTTAAAATTAATATTTAGTACAATGAAATGAGATCGTCGGACAAGACAATAGTAGGCTATACTGTAAAACTGTTCATCATGATGCATATTTATTTATCATACTACATTGTAAAACCCAAAAAGTTAAGGTAACTCAAGCCGTTTGAGGAAACCGACTACAACAAACCATTTAAGTTCAAAAACTAATCCTAATGAGTACTGTGAACCTAATCCATTTGTGTAAACAAAGCAATTTGAGCACAGTAAAACCCGATAAATGAAGAAAACTCAAACCAACTGAGTACTGTAAAACCCAATAAGTTAAGGCAACTCAGACCGTTTGAGGAAACCAATTGCTACAAACCATTTGAGTTAAAAATTAATCTATGAGTACTGTGAACTTACTCCCTTTAACTTGAAATAATGAGGTTTTTAATTAATTCACCTTCAACACTGAGTTCAAAACTCTTTTCATATGAGTAGAAATAACTTTTAGTCAATTTTCAGTTATACACTCATTTCATTCGATAAAGTTGACTGTTGGGTTTTACAGCATAGTTTTTTTTATCAGAAGCACACTGAATTTGAAACTGTATATATATATATATTTCCCAGATGATGTGTAACAGAGCAAGGACATTTTCACGGTATGTCTGATAAAAATTTTGTAATTTTTTAAAAACCATTTTAAGGTCAAAATTATTAACCCCTTTAAGCTATATTTGTTTTCGATATTCTACAGAACAAACCATCATTATACAATAACTTGCCCAATTACCCTAACCTGCCTAGTTAACCTAATTAACCTAGTTAAGCCTTTAAATGTCACTTTTAGCTGTATAGAAGGGTAAAAATCTCTCTCTCTCTCTCTCTCTCTCTCTCTCTCTCTATATATATATATATATATATATATATATATATATATATATATATATATATATATATATATATATATATATATATATATATATATATATATATATATATATATATATATATAGTTACAGTTATACACAGATTAATTTCATAACATCTCTCTAAGTTATTTTAATTCATTCCGCTGGTGTAGGGCACCCTCTTATGGCACTATAGAGAAACACTCATATACTCACCACCCCCCAAAATACAATACAATACAATACAAATATAATAAAATATCACCACACAAAACAGTCAAAATGCCATCATCTTAAATACATTTATTGCGAGGTGTCATTTACTTTACAGCAAAACATGACACAGATCCACAGTACTGAAACATTCTCAAGGCCTTCAGAGGGTTTTGGTAAAAAAAAAAACTTGAGACACATTTGGCTTGTATTGTCCTCTTTCAGCACGCTGTGTATATTCAAAAGCCAGAAGCAAGTTTTACTATTATTATACTTTTTAAATGTATTATTTCAAATCATCAAGATGTTTTACCAAAGCATACTCTTTACTTCAAGTGATTTATCCCCATATTTATACCGGCAAACCTTCTCATTCCTGGTGCATGGCTTAAAAAAAAAAAAAAAAGAAAAGAAAGAAAAGAACAGAAAAAAAAAACACACAAGCAAAATGAAAAGCCTCATTCCTGCTTTTCTATACTATCCAAAAATGCCCTTGCTTATTTATTTTTTTTACTACACCTATTTTCTAGCTGACCAAGTCAAAGATTTGCATAGAGTTAACAACTATTTGGCTGGTTTTAACTTGGCTGTGCATTTAGATAATAATAATAATAATAATGCATAAAATACACTATCCCCAATGGTGCCTGTATTCTCTGTGCTAATTCATGAGAATTGAATGATGCCGTTTCAGCATACATTTAAACCGTACCTTTAAAACAATAAAGCAGTAAAACAGGGAGAGGTGGTTAGGCAATAAGACACTGGAGGTGTATTGTACTCTATTAAAGCTCATTTTCAACAACAGGCAGTTTATAAGCCACCTTTAACTGTACATTATGTAAAATTCACATTCCAAAAAAAAGGTTTAATTAATATTCCATGAAAACAATGAATCACTATTAAAGAGCATCACTTTTTTCACAAGTTTTTTCTTTCTTACAAATGAATAGAATCAATATAAAAACAACTTTACAGGTTTCATTTAATCTTTTAAAAGCCTAATATTTTTAATGATTTGTACAAAAGAAAAAGAAATATATATAATGTATATAATATGGCTCTGCACTTGCCATTTGTATGGCAGAAATAGTTTTATAGTACATTTCAATGGCTCGGCAGTAATATTCTGTAGAACAAAATAAAATAAAATAAAAAGAGGACAGATCAAGTACACTTAAGTGGCTTAGTGGCATAACACATTTGAAATATAAACTTTATAAAGTCAATAAAATTAAAATATATATTTTTCCAGTGCTTTGGGAAGAAAATAATAACAATAAACCTATAATAATACATGTACATTTTCTACATATTTTACTTCCTTTACTGTACAGCTCAAAAGTTGGATCATACTTGTTGTTGATCCAGGTTCCCTGAAAGGCACCTTGAGCTGTATGAGCTTGAGTTTGGCAAACGGCGCTCACAGCTGTCGGCTTTATCTTTTATGGTATGCCAACATAACAGTTCGATTCTTTAAAAAAACAACTTAGTTTTAAAGAGATAGATCTCCTAAAATTGAAAATTCACTCACTATATACTCTCAAGCGTTTCTTAATCTTTATGCATTTATTTTTTTCTTTTGAACACAAAAGAAGATATTTTGCAGAATGTTGGAAACCTGTAACCATTGACTTCTATAGTAATAAAAACAAATACTACAAAAGTCAATGGTTACAGGTTTCCAGCTTTCTTCAAAGTATCTTCATCTCTGTTCAAAATAAGAAACTCACCCATAAAGGTTTGAAACAAGTAAAAGGTGAATACATTTTCATTTTCGGGTGAACTTCTAGGCTGCTTACTGGGACTAACTGGTTAACTTGTGTCCACTGAACATACTGTCACAATAGCACCTGGTCTATTATAAAAACACAAGCTTGGCATCATTGTTTCATCCTCAACAATGAAAACAGCAGCTATTCAAAAAAAAAAAAAAAAAGGTATGTGTAAAGGTGTGAAGCTAAAATGCCAACTATCTTTCCAAGTGTGTCTCTGTTAGTGGAAAGTCACCTGATTCTCGAAAACAGCATAAAACATGTTTGTTTTTTCCTTGTATTTCATGGCATGGATAACAATACAGAGATTCTATACTATTTGACCAGTAACTTTCCTTAACTCTTAAAGGTTCTTTGCAATTAATTGGGAAAAGATTCAGATTTGTGAATCATTCAGACATGGGTGTTTGTTATTTGTGGATTTCATAGCGAATCAATAGTTTTGTGAACCTGTTTGGTATTATTGAATATGAACCTTTAAAAATCAAACTGATTCCTATTGATTCACCAATGAATCAATCATACAGTTTAGTGAACCTGTTTCTGATTAGTGGAAAAAGATGTGAAAAAATCAGACTGATTCAGTGAATTATTAGATAAAATCTTTTAAAATGCAGACTGATTCACTTATTAATGTTTTGTGAGTCTGTTTGACTGATTTAGTCATGAATCTTTCAGACCAATTTAAGATGGTTAAGGACTAATTTAGTTTGATTCACTAATGAATCATTCAGTCTATTTTGAGAGCCAAACAAATGACTAAACGTTGCATGACTTTTAACTACAGTTATAGAATATATTACACAATTATTTATTCATTTAAAAAAAAAACAATAATAACCTCTGTTTAAATTTAGAGAGAGTGTGACAGTCTCACATTTGGAAAATAGCAGACATACAGTTGAAGTCAGATTTATTAGCCCCCCCTGTTTATTTTTTCCCCCAAATGCTGTTTAACGGAGAGAAAATTTTCTTTAACACATTTCTAAACATACTAGTTTTAATAACTCATTTCTAATAACTGATTTATCTTTACCATGATGACAGTAAATAATATTTGACTAGATATTTTTCAAGACACTTCTATACAGCTTAAAGAGACATTTAAAGGCTTAACTAGCTTAATTTGGTTAACTAGGCAGGTTAGGGTAATTAGGTAAGTTATTGTACAACGAGAGTTTGTTCTGTAGACTATTGAAAAGAAATATAGCTTAAAGGGGCTAATAATTTTGACCTTAAAATGGTTTTGAAAACATTTAAAACTGCTTTTATTCTACCCAAAATAAAATAAAATAAGACTTTTTCCAGAAGAAATTTTATTATCAGACTTACTGTGAAAATTTCCCTGCTCTGTTAAACATCATTTGGGACATATTTAAAAAGGGGGGATACTAATTCTGACTTCAACTGTATATTTATTAAGTTTAGGGAGTAAATATGTACATATGAAAAGCATATTCAACTTTTTTTTTAGACTGCAAGACATTTTTTTTCCGACAAAAATATAAAGGGATCTACTGTTTGATCCCAGGTCATGGAAAAGTTTGTACTTTTTTAAGGCAATCATTTTATGTCTGTAGTACAAAAGCTAGATTAAAGCTAATTCTGGATGACAGAATTCAAGCATATCAGTTCTGTTTTGTTCAGTTATGCAAAATTTCAGTTATACTGCTAAAAATACGTCTTGTTGAACAACTTCACAAAAACCACGTTCTTAATTTGCACTTCAGAGTAAAGAACATTTTTACATGGGTGTTCTTAATTCATTATAATGACATGCATAATTCCTTACAAACAACCGTATAATATGTTGTATCATCTGATAAATAATCATAACAACAGATCAACAAGTGTTATTGATGCATTATAATGTTCGCATTATAATAGGGCAAAATATTGTCATTGTGCATTTTTAATGAGTAAAATAGTATTCACAATTTTGATTTAGTCTTAAAACCACTTCACGATATCTTACGGCTGTTTAAAACAACAACTTTCCTTACTTTATTTAAAGCAGACCAGACCACTTATACATATTAAGTGTAAAACTTTCAAATAAGTACTTATGAACAGCTAACAAGCAATTAATTGTGCCCATATTATGAGCATGATATACAATTATGTTTAAAAGACAACTTTGTGTCACTTTAAGCAGTAGAATACTGTAAAATACAGTACGATACTGTTTATATCTTAAGCAAACAATCTCAATATATTAAAAAAATATATAAAATGCTACAATTATTGTAACAATTAAACTAAAAGTTAAGATTATTCATCAGATTATACGACGCATTGTTTATAAAGCATTAAGTATGCATTAAATACATTCAGAATACCCTTATAATGCATTATAAACACAGTGTTACCAACATCTCTACCTTCCTAATAAATCATTATCATGGCTTTTCTCAACATGCCAAACTAAATGCAGTATGAGTGTGTATGTGTGTGTGTGTGTGTGTGTGTATTAAATGCACATCCAGTTCACTGTATATCCGAGTCCTCAATGCTAAAGCTGCTACGCCGGCTGCTGTCTACCGATGCTTCGGGCGACATGGCGGACAGCAGTGGGTCTCCACCCAGCGGAGACAGAGCCTCTTCCATCAGCAAGAAGCTCAGCTCACTCTTCTTTCCCATCTGCGCAATGCCTCCACCCAGAAACCCCAGATCCCCCAGGCCATCTTGGTATCCTGGGATGCCTCCATCGCACAAGTCCAGAGACTGGGCCAAGTCAAAGTGCTGAGAGCTGCCCACGGCTGGGTACTGCAGCGGGGGCTGAGGGTGGAGGTGCTGGTGCTGGTGGAGCTGAGGGTGAGGCTGAGGGTGCTGCTGGGGGTAGCGAGGAGGCAGATGGGACTGGTGCTGGAGGTGGTTCTCCTCAGGGCTGCTTTCTTGCTTGATGAAGGGGTTTTGGTGGTCAGTGTTGGTCAGGCCAGATGGGGAGTTGCTGGGGAGGCCGTGGATTTGGGCTTGTCTTTCTAGCTCCTGATGGGTAAGTGGAATGAGACGGATGATTAGGGTTGATTAGGGATGATTATTTTAATGTTTTTACTTTAATTTATATATTTTGTTGTTTTGTTTTGAGGGGTATTCAGTAAGTTAGTAGAAATTATGATGTGTGTGTGTGATACTGGATTTTTGTTTTTAATTTGTTGGTATTGTTCTATACTAGCTCTATTTTGGCATTTTTTTTATAAACTTATATTTTCAAATAAAAATTATTCATTTATTTTTAGTGATTTGTTTTGTGTTTTTAGATTTTAATAAATTTTTTAAACATCATATTTGTATTTAGTTATTTAGCCCAGGAGTATGACTTATAGTAATTTTCAGCTTTTAAGCAAAAGCATTTTAGTTTCAGTTAAATAGAGAGCAGAGTTATTAAAGTTTATATTTATTTTTTTTAGATTACCTATGCTTGCATTTAAAAACAAAAAGTATAAGTTATTTTAATCATGATTTATTCACTAATAATTACTTGTATGATAAACACCAAAATGTAATATTTTTAATGTGTTGTCTAATTTCCCTTTGTATTGTTTAAAATTATTTTATTGTTTTATTGGCTATGACATAAAAAGTGATGATGAACACTAAGTTCAAAAGACAAGTTTTATGTAAGTGAATGAGTGTACCGAGAATTTTTTGCTATCCACATCAAATAAATTGACAAAATGTTTGATGTACATAAAAAGCATATTATAAGCAAGTTAAGTGTTTACTTAAAAAAAAAGTCAAAGTATGAGCTAAATGATGCTTGTAATTTAGTACAACAAATATATTTCTGAGCTGTCCTTGTTAAAATATGTAGAATAATATGTGATATTACATTTTATTATATATATTTTTATATTGTTTAAACAGACAAAGAATAAATATATAAACTGACATTAAATAGCATTTGGAGGCTTTTAATATGTCATCAAATGACATCAAACTGGACATAAACTAGGGTATATAAATTACAGCTACATGTTAGACATTTTAGTGTGTGTTGTTTTTTGTAAATCATGATGAAATAGGTGTGACACAACCAGTTTAAAATTAGGTGATACAGATTTTTAAGTCTCAAACTGTTTTTTAAACATGTTTAAGATTAGTTGAAAAAAATACATGAGTATTAGTAGACTGTCTGCTTAATAACTGTTGATACTGCTCCTTCAACAGACATTTAACTCACTATAGGACACTTTGCACGTGCATGTCAACTTACCCCTTAACTTAACCCTTACCCTAACCCCAACCTAACAGTCTAATCATAATCTAATAAGAATTAGGTGTAATGTGGATGCATTGTCACTTAAATTCAACAAATGTGCCATCAAAATAAAGTGTGACTGAAAAAAGACTTGCAAATGAGATTGATTCAGTAATGAATCTTTTAGGCTTTGTGAAAACGGTTAAGATCAGTGGATAACAACTTTGGATAACGACTAAAATACACAAATGAATCAATTAGAATGTTTTGTGAACCAGTTTAAGATTAGCAGATAAGGGCTTATAAAAATTCAGACTGATTTACCAATGAATCACTGATTCAGTTTTATGAACTGAATAAACCTGGATTAGTGGAAAAAGACTTGGAAAAAAGATAAACTGATTCAGTAATGAATCATTCAGACAGTGTGTAAACCTGTTTTAGATTAGTTGAACAAAATTTGCAGTTGAACAAAACTTTCAGGATGTTTTGTGGACCAGTTTAAGATTAGTGGATAAGGACTTCTAAAATTCAGACTGATTCCCTAATGAATCATCCAGAGTGTTTTTATGCCTGTGTCTTGTGAGCCTGTTTGACTGACACTTGTTTTGTGAACCAGTTTAAGAATAGTTGATTAGGACTAATTGAATCATGGCTCACAAAAACCAAAAACCAATACAATTAAACAAGACACATCATAATGTAAGAAAAAATAGCATTCTACACGTTTTTTGTTTTAATATGTACAGCTGAAGTCATAATTATTAGCCCCCTGAATTATTAGCTTCCCTGTTTATTTTTTCCCCCAATTTCTGTTTAATAAGATTTTTTTTAACACATTTCTAAACATAATAGTTTTAATAACTCATTTCTAATAACTGATTTATTTGATCTTTGCCATGATGACAGTAAATAATATTTTACTAGATAATTTTCAAGACAATTCTATACAGCTTAAAGTGACATTTAAAGCTTAACTAGGTTTATTAGGTTAACTAGGCAGGTTAGGGTAATTAGGCAAGTTATTGTTTAATAACTTATATATATATAGCTTATAATAAGAGGTAATAACAAATATATAGCTTAAAGAGGTATAATATATATATATATATATAGCAAATATATAGCTTTAATAATTTTGACCTAAAATGGTGTTTAAAAAATTTAAAATGCTTTTATTCTAGCCAAAATAAAAATGAATAAGACTTTCTCCAGAAGAAAAAATGTAATCAGACATACTGTGAAAGTTTCCTCGCTCTATTAAACATATTTAAAAAAATAAATCAAAGGGAGGGCTAATAATTCTGACTTCAACTGTATATGTTGAAAGAAAGTTCACCTGAATGCGGAGCCACAGCTGTTTGTTAGCCATCTCCATCCTCCTGAAGTTGTTCTCCACCTCTCTGGTTCTCTGGACATCCTTCTGCATGCGTTTAATATAATCCACAGAGGCCCTCAGAATAGTGCCTTTATTCCAGCGTACATCCCTGAACACAAGAGGTTCCAGATGGTCAAGTGCTTACTCAAATATCCCATATAAAAGCTCAGGGAAAGTTCACATCTGCACAGATCTGAGAGTTCAGACTTACAGGTCGTTGGTTTTGGGGATCATGGTGCCCAGCTCCTTAATTCGATCATTGATGTTAAACCTTCTCCTCCTTTCAACTAGAAAGAAAACAAGTCAGGGTTTTAAATTGGAAGATGAGCAGTATTAGGACAGAACGAGCAATCAGCTTCTTATTATCTGACCCTGACAGTCATGTGGCCATAAGTTTTGTGTTTACTTCTTGGCTCACTCTTGTGTTAATGATGGGAAATGAGGCAACCAAGAGGACCATCTCTGCGTGTTTATAATGCGTTTATATGTACTTTCTTATCTCAAAATATCATAGAGAACATGTTAAAGGTTTTCAACGAGCACCTATTTTATTCATTCAGCTAAATCAACACAATTCTTGAGTTTTCTTTAGGATAACCTAATTGCTTTAGGTTAAATCCACTTAAATTTGTAAAACCAATTAAGTTAACGTAATCAATTGGTGTTGAGACAACATAGAGGAATTGTGTGGAATCCAGGACTTTTGACAGTGTACAGTGTACTTTTTGTGTACAATGTTAAAATGATTTGAAGTAATGTTTTGCTTTCATTCAGAGTAAGATTTGATGTAAAACTGAACCGACATACATATTCAAAATAGTGCCTATTATAAAATACAAAATAACATTTGATTTGATTTATACTTTAGTTGATTTTAAATCAGGAGTACCCAAACTTTTTCTTATAAAAACCCCAAAACCAAACTTGATTGAGGGCTGTGAGCCGAACGTTAAATATACCAAGCCGTATTACATTAAATTTGCCATGAATAACTCCCTACTTTATTTGCTAATATTTAAAAATAACTAGAAATGTTGCTTTAAAATATATAAATTAATGATGCAGTTTCAATTTTACAGTTTTACAAAGAACTTATATAGTAAAAACAAATAATCCCATTTATAACACAATGGAGTTCAACTCTGAATACAGAAGTCGAGCTGATCCTGCCTTTGCCTTAATTTGCTCACTGATGTCTTGTGCATTGTCCTCTATCTGACAGTATTTACATTTTAAATGTCTGATTTATTTACATCATTTAAATGAAACATTTAATTTTAGTTGGCTTTTTTTTTTTGAAGCTCCTTAATTACACAAAAACACTAAAGATTATTTTTAATTCGAAATGATGAACTCTGTCAAAGGCATTTGCCTCGACCAACTTCCCATCATTCTCCCTCTCTTTTTAGATTGAATGGTGGGCCAATCCAAAGGTTACCATGGGACAACTTTGGTGCTTGGGCCCTACTTTGGGCACCTCTGTTTTAAATTATTAAAAACGTAATTGAAAAAATCTATAAAACATATTGATTTGAATTAAGAATAGTGGCAAAGTAATATTAATAATAATAAAAACAATTTTTATTTATGTGGCGCCTTTCCAGAGCTCAAGGACACTTTACAAAGAATGTGTAAAGAAGATAAACAAACATACAGGAAGTCAAATATAACAAACTGGAATTACACAAACAAGACCTATGAGACAAATGAGCAGAGCGCAGGTGGATCAGATAAAGTGGTCAGTTTGGCAAATCAGAAGTGTAGCATTCAGAAAATAAGTGAGTCTTAAGTAAGGATTTGAATTCAGAGATATTATTAGCAGAGCGGAGTGAGTGTGTTGGAGAGTTCCAGAGTTTGGGTGCAAATACACTAAATGATCTGCCCCCTATTGAAAAGAGGCGGTACCGAGGGACAGCGAGAAGGCCAGAGTCAACGGAACGTAAAGAATGAGTTGGGGTGTAGGGGACAAGCATGTTACAGAGATAGGAGGGAGCTAGGCTATTTAGGGATCTAAATGCAAGGAGGAGATTTTTGAATTTAATGCTGTATGCAACTGGGAGCCAATGGAAGTCATACAAGATTGGGGTTATATGAGCAGAACGTTTGGTATGAGTGAGTATAGCCGCAGAGTTTTGAATTGTATAAATATAAAAAATATGTAAATAAAAGTATAAATTTAAAAAATATAAGTATAAATATAAAAAAGTATAAGTATTAGTATTTTAAGGTTGCACTGCGATCCTTAAATAAAGTCTTTTAATATGTCATTAAATTATTCTAGCTCAAAATATGCTTGACAAGAATGTTTATGAATGTTTTACATTATACTATAATCATGGTAAAATGTTGTGATGGTTATTTATTTGGTCTCCAAAACTATTCATACAAAATTAATTATGTATATTTTTGTATTTCATCAAATATTTTATATTAAGAAAAATGTATGAATATGATACACATACTTTTCTGTATTGATGCTTGAAAACAATTAAAGACAAAATGGCTAGCCCTCCTTTAACATTTTAATTGCTGTCTCCTCTCCACCATTCAGCTGGTGTGTGGTGTCCGGTCTGGCGCAAATGGCTGCCGTTGCGTCATCCAGGTGGATGCTACACACTGGTGGTGGATGAGGAGATCCCCCTATTGTGTAAAGCGCTTTTAGTGCCCAGAAAAGCGCTATATAAATGTAAGGAATTATTATAATTATGATTATTAATTCTTTTTCCACATATTTCTAAAGTGTTAATTGATGGAAAAAGATTTTTTTTTCAGCACGTTTGAACAATACAATAACTATAACAATTTACTTATAGGCTCACACGGAATCAGCGGGCACAGAATTCCGCAGATTTATTTTTTTGAGTGTAAATTTATAATTATTCAGTTTTTAAATGAATTTTACTAATATTATTGACTAATATAAAAATATTTATATGATTTATTTACAATATAGTTTTTAAAGTAATATTTTCTGTCATTTAGTAGCCATATTATTTGAGATACTTGCTTTGTTTACCAAATAAAGTGGATCTAACTGTTTTTGCATTGCACAATACAAGTTAAAATGTATTACTTTTTATTTTAAATATTAAGTTTTTAGCTATGACACTCACAAAATAATTCCAAATAAATCCACAGATTTTGTACAAAATTCTGTGCAGAAACATCAAAAAATGTCCGCAGATTCCGTCTGGCCCTATTTACAACTAATTCATTTTGTCTTTGCATGATGACAGTACATAATATGTCACTAACTTGCCATGATGACACTCCATAATATGTCCATAATATTTTGCTAAATATTTCAGCTTAAAAAGCCATTTAAAGTCTTAACTAGCTTAATTAGGCAAGTCATTGGACAACAGCAAGGTGTGTAATCTTTTTCCAGCCAAAATAAAAGAAAGAAGAAAAGAAAAAAGCATTAGGAAAACAATCCTTGCTCTGTTAAACATCCTTGGGGACATTTTCACAGTATGTGATCTTTTTTTTCTGGAGAAAGTCTTATTCATTTTATTTTAGTTAGAATAAAAGCAGTTTTAATTTTTTTAAAACCCATTTTAAGGTCAAAATTATAAGCCCCTTTAAGCTATATTTTTTTCCGATAGTCTACAGAACAAACCACTGTAATACAATAACTTGCCTAGTTAACCTAATCAACCTGGTTAAATCTTTAAATGTCACTTTAAGCTGTATAGAAGTGTCTTGAAAAATATCAGGTACAATATTATTTACTGATCATAGCAAATATAAAATCCATTAGAAATGAGTTATTAAAACTATTATTTTTATAAATGTGTTGAAAAAAAATCTTCTCTCCGTTAAACTGAAATTGAAGAAAAAATAAACAGGGGGGCTAATAATTCTGAATTCTACTGTATGTGCTAAAGCATTTAGCATTTAGCATTTAAGCATTTAAATTAAGTCTCTTTTTGCCTGACCTTGACCATCATGTAGTCATCTTCCTTTGTTTGTATCTTGACTCATTCCTGCGTTAATGATAGGAAATAAGGCAATCTCCCCATTTTTATAATGCACAGGATATAGCTCTATCTACCCTCCTATATCAAAGTAGTTGGAAGCAGGCCAAGCTTAGCGAAGCTCTGCAGAATTATTGTCCAACTCCAATACTTGTGAAATGTCACAGGCAATTACATTTTAATGCCAGAGCAGCAGGATCTGTCCGAGTTAACGATAGACCAAAGTATAGTGCGCTGTCAGCTGAATGTGCCTGAAGGTGATGGTGACGGTGAGTGTCAATGGCAGGGCACTAGTGGATCTAGTGTACTTTAAACCTTAAGGGGTTGTAAACCAAAAGAAATGAAGGGAGAAAAAAAAAACGTATACTCACTCAGGTTGTGGTTGTCTTTCTTCTGTCTTTCTTTGGCCATTGCACGAGCTTCTACATCTTGCCAAAAACAAAAGACTTTTAATCACTGTTATGATTATCAACTTGTTTTGCTATTCACACAAAATGCAGTCTGAACTGGATTTAGGAGACTTCGCAATAGTGGCGATCAGTAGCACTGCTTAAATTTTATCCAGCAGAGTTATGCAATAAACTTTTCCTCATTGTTTCTGTGAGAGAAGTGTAGTTTAGGCTGTGCTCAGTTTTCTGTTTTTTATTTTTAGGTTAGTATGTCAATGCATTATAATATAAGTAAAAAAAAAAAAAAAAAAACTTGAAGCAAGACAGCTAAACATGCAACTCAGAAAAACAACAACAAGGGGAATTGGAAATATGATCTAAATGTATCATGTGTCTCTTGTGATGCTGATGTCTTGTTTGCTTCCCATACTTTGTGTCATTCTGATCACAAAATATTTTCACGTTCAATTTATTTCATAGGAAGTATGATGAATGTTCTAATTAGTCCTATAGGTTTATTATTGTTATCTAATACTAAACCTCAAAACTAAAATTATTTTTAATATTTGAAATATATAAAATAAAACAATATAATATAATATAATATAATATAATATAATATAATTTAATATAATATAATATAATATAATATAATATGATATAATATAATATAATATAATATAATATAATATAATATAATATAATATAATATAATATAATATAATATAATATAATGCAATGCAATACAATATGATATAACAATTTAATATAATATAATAGCTAGCCAATACATTTTAATAAATTATAGTTAAATACTAACTAAACTAAAATAAAAATAAATAAAATAGTTAAAAAGATATATACATATTTAAAAAACTAACAAAAAACAATTAAGTTTTAAACTAAAAATGTAAACAATTAATAAAACTACAGTAGTAACTCAGTAAAATAACACTGATCCAATTATAGATTCTATATGTACATTTCTTGGGGAAAAAAAATCTCAAATTTTAAATATTTATTGATATAATTTTAATCACTATATTTGACCAAATTAAAAAATGCAAAAGAATTATTAAAACTTAAGTTGCTTGACAAAAAAAAATTATTTTAATTTAACAAAACAATGTTTCTTATTTGTTTTTGTCTCATATACCTTAATTGTTGGCTTTACTATTGCTGTAAAATACCAACAAATACCTAAAACATACAAATATACCTAAACAATAATGCTAAAAGATGTTATGCCTTAAATATGACAGTGGCTGTCATAGCTGGAGTTGCACTGTTTGCTCTATAAGAAATTAAAGATCACACTACCTGACAGCTCTCTCTTGATGGCTAGATTCGCAGGGCAGGAGTTGCTGGTCATGGCTATTGCAGATCCAGACATACCGGGCCCCGTGTACACATCCAAATGACTGCTGGACAATGGGAGCTGCAGTGCACAAAAATACAAATGTGAGTATTGGAAAGTAGGACGACAACAGCAATATGTACAAAAAAAATCTTTTTAGCATCAAGTAAATACTAAACTAAATTCAACTAGACAGTGTTTTATTAATAATTAATTCTCTGACCATGGATTTGAAAACTCTTTAATGCCCAGCTGCATTCTAATGCTGTCTTTGCTGGAAAAGATACAACTAGTTTGTCTTTCAAATGGCATTTTTATGAAGCCATATCCAGCGTAACTCTGGTAAATCATCACAATCACTAGAAACCCAATAAACACTCAGCTTATCTCCAGAGCAAAGCCATAAACGCTAGAGATAATGAAGATAAAACACGAAAAATATCACACTCGGCTATTGCTTCTAGGTGAGAGGAATGATTGACTATGCTCTTTCTTATCTAGGTCTTTATGGTTTTATACCAGTTGTATCTTTTATTCCATCTTGATGTTTCAGTATAATTGTAAGCAAGCCAGCTCTGAGCTCCTAATGAGCCATGTCAGATAAATCAGCTCAGATATCTTATCACAGAAGCTACTGTGAAACACCAAGCCAAACAAACACAAATCAACAGTAAAAAAAAAGTCAGAAAGGGAAAACCGTTGTGCGAAGCCGTTAAATTTGTGCGTGGAATCACATTACACCTTTTCTGCAATCTCTAATTCAGTGAAGCGGATTGCAGTGTCATACTGAGAAAACAGAAATGGCTCATTAAGCTTTAATCACTAATCAAAGAAAGAGTGATCAAAGGAAGGACATGGTCAGCAGGGTCAGAGGAGGCCTTTGCAGACTCATTAGGAGTCCAAACCTCACCTCTTCACCCCCATGTTTCATCCAATCTTTAAAACTTTAAATCCCCCCAATGCACCATTGAAAAACTATATATAGTTTACATGCATAATAATGCCCTTATATCAGGGGTGCCCAAACTTTTTCGTATGAAGGCCCAAAAACCAAATATCTTTGAGAGCCATGGGCCGAAAGTTAAATTTGCCATTGATTATTTGCTAATATCTTTTAGAATGTTTAAAATAAATTGAAAACACTACTTTAAATCGTATTAACTAATGCTGTATCCATTTTTACGATAACTTATTACAATAAAAAACATAAACAATTTATAACATAGTGGATATAAATTATACAAATACACTAGACAAACAGAATCAATTCATTGTCCTCTATCCGTTGGGTGACAGTGCGTACATTTATTTAAAATATTTTATTAAAACATTTCATTTCAGTTAGTTTTTATAGCTTAGCAATAAAATAAACAAACAAGCAAGCAAACAAACAAACAAACAAACAAACAAAAACGATTACATTAAATTAGAAATTACAGTCTCAAAAAAGCCTCCTGATAATTTTACCTCTCTTCTCAGAAGGAATGGTGGGCCAAATCAAAGGTTATCATGGGCCAACTTTAGGAACAGCAGGCCCTAGTTTGGGCATCTCTGACTTACAGTATATGCAGCAAAATTGAGAGTGGTTGCTGTTGTTCCTGGATCAGGATTAAGGATTTAATTGTTATGTGGATCAGCATAAAATGTCATTTATCAAGAAAAGATTTGGTAGGGGAAAACGGCAAACTACAGGACTCATTAAACTGTAGTATTTCCTTATCTTTACGCACTAAATGCATGAGCTATCAACGAACCAAAGATCAACAATTACATTAGAAAGCAGATGTTTAAAAAAATCAATAAGAAAATCAATCAGACATATTCACTTACAGCTAAAAAAATAAATACAAATAAAACAGATTATGGAGCTGTAACTGTATACATATTTGTTTTTGTGTAAACTTGACAATAGACAAAAAAAAAACTTCACCATGTACTCCCTGTGGTTTCAAATCCGTATCATCATTTCTTTTTTTCTCCTGAACAACACATTTTAAATATTTTGTCTACAAAAAGTGGGTTATCAATGTTTGGTTCAAATTGGCTTCGATGGAAGCCACCATTTTTAGAGTGTACAGCAAAAATCAATGGAGTCCAAAACAACATTGAACCCCACTGACTTCTATTATGTGCGCAAGTTTGAAATCCCACAGGGGTGAGAAAATGTTGACAGTATTTTTGTTCTTGCGTGAACAATCCTTTAAGTAGCTGAAGCAGCTGTATTTAGTTGCAGGCCCACCTCAATAACAGCCATAAACAACAAGTCATTTACAGATATATGAGCACAACATGCTACAAGGGTTTGGCTAAATGTGTGACGAGGTGTCCTTAAAGTGCCCATAGCATTCCCCTGTTTCTTTCTAGTGCCTCCAGTTTCCAAGAATGAGAAGCACAGAAACATTGCAGCAAGACTAAACAACCCCACCCCTTGCTTCCTACCCAATATCACCCCTCAGTGATAGGAAAAAGACGGCCTTACCAGCTGAATCTTCTCTCCATCAATAACCTCCACGATGGCATAGGTTTTATTAGTGTCTTTCATACTGGCGTCTGAATCTCTCATAGCTGCACACACTTGTCGTTCTCCCTCCACCTCTCCAGAGAGACTAACCTGAACCACACCGGGAACTTCTCTCTTCTACTTTCTCCTAAGCACTAAACACTGAACTTTCCCCTATCTGGACTTTCAGCCTCCCCTTCCCGGCCCTCTCTTTCTCCAAAACCTCCCCCCCTCCTCTCCTGCTTACCCACCTTCACGAAATGCCTTGTAAACAAGTTGAACTCTAACTGAGAGCGGCTTAATTGTTAATGTCGGGCAGTTGCTTAAATATAAAGCACAGTGCTCCTACTTTCCTGATTCCCCACGCAATGTCTTCCCTTGAGTGAATCAGGCCACAGTTTTAAATCAATTAAACATGCTTAAAACATTTCCCCCCTGAAGAAAGCTGGCAAGGATCTAATATTGGTTGAACAGATAATTCGACAGGCAGAGTTCTGGAGGAGTCTAAACTCAAAAATAAGTCATTTCGAGGTCGCATGAGAGAGAAAACAGTTGCATCATTTTCCTGAGACGGTGCTTCGCTATAATTAGACGTGACTTTTGGTAATCAGACAAAGATGCTTTTCATCCCTATATGCCTGATAAAAAAGCAGCACAACAAATAGATCCAGAATAAGTCCTCCATTGTCAAAGCAAGAGGTTGCGGGGGCTTCAAAAATAGAGCTATTCAGCAGCAATAAGGCACAGCCTGTGCATCATAAACAAGAATTTTTTTCGCTCAATTTTTCACTTACCTTCTGGGACTCCGTATCACTTAGAGACAGCAAAGTCAAAAGACGAAAAGGCCTGAGTTGAGCGAACGGCTACTTACCGTGTTTGGCATCTGGACCACAGGGTCATTGTATGCCTGGATGTCATCATAACTGGACTGTAGGCTGATGATGTTATCAATTACGTCATCCATCTTATCAAAAACAAACACATAAGGAGAATTTAGACACTTAGTATGCATACTTTTCATTGATTACTGAAGAGTTTTCCTATACATTCTCCAAATATATCTATGCTAAGGAAATATCGACAGTTATTACAGATGAAAGATGCATTCCTCTCAACAGCTGGACAGACATAATCCCTCTCACAAAGGTTGTCACTGTGCCACATGCACATATTCACTAAGAATCTCATTGGATTTGGTGGTATTGAGAGCGTAGGGAGGATAAAGGACCAAAGTCTGCTTTGTTCCCTGTCACTCTTTAATCTGTAATTATACCTTCACAGCCATAATTGGCCACTTAAACTCCAATGACAATGAAGTTAAGTTAGTTAACACCCTGACCTTTGTGTGCGCCTGGGCAAATAACACCCACCACAAATAAAATCATATGGAATATGGAAGATGAGCAAGACTTTGTCTTTTGCTGAAACATTGGGTTTCTGTGAATTCAGAGAGGAACTATGCTACTAAATATAAAAAAGTATACATGCTAACGGTAAATTAAGCATGTTGTGACATCAAAATGAATCACAATGATTGCGAAAATATGTTACAGGAAAAGTGTTTATTTCAAACATGTCTAGACACACTTCTTAAGAAAACTGAAGTACCTCGTTCTCGTGGCTGGAGCTGATGTTGAGCATGGCCATGGGACTGTTGGGCGCACTGTTTCCAGCTGAGTTCATGAGCTGCTCGGTGCGCATGCATGGAGAGTGCATGTTCGGTGGGGCGCTTCCGGTTTGAGCCTGGACCATGGGGGGTGGAGAGGGCTGAACCAAGCTTGTGACAGCATGTACAGCTTGTTTGGTGGCATATGTGGTGGACAGGTACTCCTTGACCTGCTGCCGCTGGGACTGTCGGATGTGGTAGTCTGTGGGGTTCTCAAGATGGGTCTGCACCTGTAATATATGATAATAATATAAGGGTAATATATGATATAAGGGTATAATATATGATAATAATATAATTTGTTTCCTGATTTTTGATGTCGGTTTATAAATGTTGCTTTTAAATGCTACTGTGACTATTTGCATTTTTGAGTGTTGTTTGTCATTTGAATTGATATATATTTTCAGGTTTTTAGGTCTATAACATCTAATAATGAGACTTTTAATAAAAACTATCATTTGGGCTCACTTGGGTACATTTACTATACATTCTTTTAGCCAAAAAACATCAACAATGTTTATTTAAAATGTATTTAACAGTGTTAAGAATCTTCTATCCAGTCTTGAATGAAATGAACAGCACGAAATCAGAGGCAGTCTGTGCCAAACTCATTCAGTGTAACATCATGACTGTAACGTTTTTCATTTTAACTAACAATGTGTAAACATGGTGTACATAAGGCATTCATTGCACAACTTCAACACCTTAACCTTTTTATGAGAGTGCAGTGCTTGAACAGCACAGTCCATCAACGTGCTTTATTGATTATAAAAGGCACTCACTTTCTGTTTAAAATGCATTTACAACTTCGATAAAAGACAGTTTTCATTTAACTTGATACACTCTGCAAAATTACTAAACAAAGTAAAAGGGTCATGTCCTCTTTCAGCTCAAGTCCACCTCAGAATTTAAAAAAAATGCTACATGATGGGCATGGAGCTCTGCGAGCAGAGGAAGGAGAGGGCATAGGCAGTAGAGCAGGGGAAAAAGAGTGGAGCAAACTACTGTTGTCAGTTGGCTCACAAAATGAGACACAAACCCATGACCCATGGTTTTATAGTTTAAAAAGGTAAAATGCAAAGAAATAAACAGAAAGTAATTTAATGCCCTGCTACATTTATTATTAATAATTTCATATTAACAAATCCAATATTTGTTATATCATCATAAAGACAATCATGTTTATATGAACACTATAAATGAGGAGGACTTCTCTCCTCCTCAATCCCAGGGTCTGAATGCAGACACAGTAGAGCAGTGCAGCAGGTCTCTTGCCCTGTCTATTTCAACCATTAACCCTGCCGGTAATCTGGAGAATTTTATACATGGGCAAACACAGCAGCATGGATATACAATGTGCCTGAATGGTATTAAACTCAACTGATGAAAGACTAAATCCGCCATTCTCCAATTCTCGTGCAGCTCTCAGACAGAAATGCCTCCTGCAAACCAACAGCTTTGCTGTATCGGCTCTGACAGCATCGCGAAGAAAGCCATGCAACAAATGCCATGGATCATGGAAACAAACTCATACGACCCTTCATAAATGGCTCAATACTGCGCGCCGTGCGCGGAGGTGGTTTCACCCAGTCATAGGGTCTCACAGCTTGGCAGGTCTGCCTTGCCGTCAGAAAGCCTGTGCAGTCATGAATAATTAAAAAGCAGGATCTTCTCATAGGATAAGAAAATTCAGCTACGAATAATAATGAGAAATCGACACGTCATCTCTGGACAGACATATCGTTGCTACGTCACCGATTTTGATCCCACCCCAAAAATAATTTTAAACCCAAAAGACAAAAGCTTAAATTGATCCAGTTTTCACCACAATTTAAGCGGACATGTGTTAACATTGTCATGATAGATGTTCAACACAAACAAATAAAATTAAATTGACAATAATTTTTTTTTTAAAAGTACTCCACGGTGTCTTGAACTTTTAAATGTCTACTAATTGTAGAAGACTTTTGGTTAATTGTGCAAGTCATTGGACAACAGTACTTTGTTCTGTAGCCAGTCTAGAAACAAACAAAAAATAATAATAATTCTTAAGGGGGCTAAAAATAATGACCTTAAAATTATTTTAAACAAATTATTTTAAACAAATTGCTTTTATCCCAGCCAAAGAGAGGTAATAAGACATAATACTTTATCCAGAAGAAAAAAAACAAAGGAAAAACTGTAAAAATATGCTCTGGTAATAAAACTCACTCAGGGAATATTTTTCAAAAATAACTATAATTTCATAGCTAATGATAATAATAATAATGTCTAATAATTTTGATTTTGGGGAGTAGAAGAACTTCTAAAAGGTACTACAAACATATTTTTGATACGAGAACTGCAGAAATGCAATGACTTGCACCTTCTAAACCCACACACTGTTTTAAGCAAAATCCCTGTACCATCTATCCCATCATGTCTTATGACTTACACTTCCAGCAGCAAGTACAGTGTTTTTACTGTCACCACTACAAATAACATCAAGCCAATGTCTTTAGGCAGAGCCAGCACTGTTTTAGAGCCACAGTCAAAGATAGTTATGTAACTGTGGGGCTCAAGTCTATGCGTGTTATGTACAGGGTACAGAGGGGCCAGAACGAGCCTCCAGACGTTCAGTGAATCACACAGGCACCTGCTGATGGAGCTTCAAAAAGGAGATGACGTATGAATGGACTGGCCTCGTTCTTTCACTTCAAATTGATTTACAGTTAAAGTCAGAATTATTAGCATCCCATAGATTTTTTTTTCTTTTTTAAATATTTCTCAAATTATGTTTAACAAAGAGCAAAAAATTTTCACAGTATGTCTGATAATATTTTTTCTTCTGGAGAAAGTCTTATTTGTTTTATTTTGGCAAGAATAAAAGCAATTTTTTTATTTTTTTAAAACAATTTTAAGGTCAAAATTATTAGCCCTTTTAAGCTATATATTTTTTCGATAGTCTACAGAACATTATTAATGAATTGCCTAACTACGCTAACCTGCCTAGTAAACCTAATTAACATAGTTAAGTCTTTAAATATCACTTTAAGCTGTATAAAAGTGTCTTGAAAAATATCTAGTCAAATATTATTTACTGTAATCATGGCAAAAGTAAAAAAAAAAAAAAAAAATCAGCAATTAAAAATGAGTTATTTAAACTATTATGTTTAGAAAAGTGTTGAAAATCTTCTTTCCGTTAAACAGAAATTGGGGAAAAAATAAACAGGGGGGCTAATAATAATATTTAATTTAATATTTAATAATTCTTACTTCAACTGTAGCACCCAAAACTGATAAGACGTGCACAACAATGAAAAGAAAATGACTTTAAGTGTTATGTATGACATATGCATGAGTATAAACAATCTGAGCTCTAATGCCTGAATCCACTCTTTTCTTACACACCATAAAGTTACTCACAACTTTTGTGATTAACTTTAGTGAAACTGTAAACAATCAGTAAAATATTTTAAGAAATTGAGTACAATGAGTGTATTTACACAGTGTATGCATCCAATATTAAAATGCAACTTATTAGAATGACTGAATTAGTATCATCGGTCCATGAAAACAAAAACAAAACAAAAAAAATATATTATTGCAATATTACAAGCATATACTAAATAGTGCTGTACTGTAGGGAATACAAACAGAATATAATTAGAAGGGACAGAATATGGAAAACAAACAAGAGGCTACTTTATAACTGATAGAAATACTACAGAAAGCCAAACGTACCTCCAATTAATTTTTTACTCTGCATATTAATTATTCGAAGCACAACCTCATTATCTAAAAGCATTCGTTTCAGTTCTTCTAAACGGAAGTTCCCCAAACTGGAAGTGGAACCCATAATATGAAAAGTGGAATTTTTCATGTGTGCATGCTGATGTAAAATATTAGCTATAATACAGCAACTGCATTCCTGAGTGAAAGCAAGCCTCAGGATTAGTGGATGAAAGCCTTTGGAAAAGAATTCAATCCCAGTCCAATCACTTGCATTATTTAACTGAAAGATTAAAGAACACGATGGAGTGAGTAAAACTTTTATAGGCAGTTTAGGTGAAGGATACAGGACGTATTTACACACAAGCTGTAAAGTGGGGACACTGTCTGGAAGGGCATTTCCCTGGTGGTAAATCTCTTCATGAGGGCTATGTCAAGGCATTTCGGGTAGCGCCAGCTGCTCGGAGCTCTCTGAGGTGAAATTACAGAGGGTTAGTTGTTGTTAGAAGCTCATCTCACATAGAGCTCTTACTTTTATTCAGTCTAGGAACGGTGCTGGTAAATGTCTATCAAAAGGATATGGGACTGTGTGAAACATGAGCCACTGTTGCTTAATCTTAGGATGACACATGTTTGGCTGCGTTAGAGGGCAGCAGAAACATGCTAACAGCAGAAGCTATTTCCACTTATACTCAGGAAACACAAGAGTGGAGGTATTACCCTCTTAAAGCCATACAGTACATCCAAAAAATAAACATTTACTTAGTATTGATTCATATTCTAAACTTTTATGGATTTTTTTTTTTCTTTTAAACACAAAAAATATATAGTTTGAAGAATGTTTGAAATCGGTAACCACCTACTTCTTAGTATATAAACCAAATACTTTTAAAATAACTTGCGTTCAACAGAAAAAAAGAAACTCAAACAGGTTTGTGACAAGTGAATATCACTTACAATTACAATATTATACGATAAAGACGCAGACTATTTTCACGTTTCAATTATGACAGATTAAATGGCAAAAGCATTTAAATTACACAATACTGTGAAAACTACAAAATTCCCCCTTAAAAAAACCTGTCATGTGCATATGGTTGCATTTTGCTCATTCAAGCATGCATTAGTATTGACAACCAAAACAACACGTGCGCTGGTACGAAGTGTTTCTCTTTATGAAGTGAATAGCCTGACATGCATAATACAGTCTTCTCAACATCATTTTCATGGATCTGCACGAATGGGGATTTCAATTGACAGATACTATTGTCTGTACATTGAAAAATGATAGGAAACACTTTTTAGGACATTATTTTTATGTACAGTAATTGTACATTAAAATGCTAGGGTGCTTCAAAATGATTATCAGTCTCTGATTATAACGGGAAAGCTCCTTAAATCTGAGGCTCAGTTTGAATGATTTTTTTTTCTTCAGAGATTAATGCCTTGAAGGAGACTGAACATGCCTTCAGTCATGCCTTTATGTTTTCAGTCGCCTAATACACAAAAAAAAAAGATGTTGAGCAAGTTATTCAATTGATAATAGAGACTGTTATGGTCCATTCAAAAGAAACACACAGAAAAAAAAGAAAGCTACAGCACATGAACCCTCTCTACTGTGTGTTCTACTACTTTCCAAAACTTTCATTTTCATAAATCATTGGATGTTTTGAAAAACTCTGAAAGCGAAATGAGAAAAAAAACAACAACTTGAAAGTATAGCAGAAAGTTTGATAACATCACACACACACACACAACGACTAATTTTCATGCAACCTTTCAAAGTTGCTCTCTTTTAAATAACAGATAACAATCCCCAAAAAACCCACACACACATTGATTCAATCAGGAAGAAACTGTCACCAGTAAGAATGTTCTCTTTTGTGTTATATCTGAATAAATCATGTCACCGTGTCTGCTCTTTTCTATGCTTTTCCGCTTACCTGGCTATCGTTCCACCGCATTCTTCCACAAATATTTCTGGCTTTGTTTTTGATCTCAGTTGAAACGTAATTCAGTGCACTACAGCTATGGTCAGTCTTGCACGACCCACTGACTTCTGGACTTTGCCCACTACTCTTTCACCGCAACACGAGAGAGGAGATTACTACAGTACCTAATCTTGCCTAATTTGGTCTTCATGCACTTCTTAGAATTCATTCATCCAGTTGGGACCACTAGGGTGGCCGGAGGGGTGAATTTCCTAATGAAAGGTACAGTAGGAACAGGGTCTCATGGAGTGTGGACATGGGTTGTTTTTGTTCTAAAACGCCTTTTAAAAACTAAGACGTATTAGTGTAAATGGGGCCTATTACTACGATATGGTCTTAGAGTGTAAAAATATATTAGCTAAAAGCATTTTTAATATATGTTGATATATTTTTGATGTAAGACATTGTGGATTTGCTTCTTTGGCTCTTGCAGAAGCTGGCTGGTAGTACACTAAAAAAACTAAACTACACTTTAAATTTGCCCAAATTAAGTTCTTAGCAATGCAAAATAAAAAAAAATAAAAAAATCTGAAATATATTCAGTAGGTCTTCTAAAAATCTTTAATATTTACTTAATATTATAATGATTTTTGGCATAAGAAATATAACATTTTGGCCCATATAATGTACTTTTGACAAAAATGATGCTTGTGCAAAATAAGGTGTTGTGGTCCAGGGTCAGAAATGTGCTGTTATATGTATAATTCATTACATTTCTGATTTTATTAACTGTGGAAAACACATCAGTCCGTGAGAAGGGAACTCTCGTGTTTTCTTGCACTCATGACAGGCATTGTCCGATAACTCATGCTGCTAAAAATGGTCACACTAACAAATGTGGTATTGTGTATTACAGGTATTATTGGCTTCGATGAATTGCGTGAAGTCTCTACTAACTTCATAAATTTAAGATTCATGTAAAATATGCTTTAAGTCAAACCCAGATACACAGGCTGATGGATACACCTACCTTTAGCACTTCAACAGGCACCTGCATGGGTCCCTGGAAGTGTGTTGGTGCACTGATGGCTGGCGTGGGCTCAGGTGGGCCTGGCATGCGATGCTGCATGTAATGCATTGATACTGCTTGTTGTTGCTGCCGCTCCCGCTGCTCCTCCTGCTGCATTTGGTCCCGCATGAGCTGCAGGCGCAGGCCGATGCGTGACGACATGGCTGGGGGACGCGGGGGGCGGGCTGCTGTCGCCGCGCAGTCCAGCCCGAAGAGTGGTGGGGTGTCTGTCAAGAAAATAGTTTGAGGAAATGATTATAAAGTAAATGGATGGATGCAATTATATTTACACTGAATTAGAAACAGTGACAAGTTCATTTGTACCGTAAGGTTATCAAGTTCATTGTATAAATTCATTTTACAATACAGAACAGAATACAGATCTGTTGGTAAAGACCCAGAAATTTTAAGCTGTTGTTACCACAAAAGGGGTTATACACCCGCACAAAAAAAGTAAATAATGTTTTCTTGAGCACCAGCTCAAAACATTACAATTATTAAATAATAAAAATTCAGATTGACTGAATAAATGAACAAATAGATGAAGTAAATTCATAAGTTCATCATTTACTTACCCTTCACTTTACAAACAGGTTTTACTTTCTTTTTTTGTTGAACACAATAAAATATATTTTGAAGAAAGCTGGAAACCTGTAACCATTGACTTCCATAGTATTTGTTTTTCCTATTTTTTCTAAATATCTTATTTAGTGTTCAACAGAATATTAAAAAAAAAAAAAAACTGTGGTTTGAAACCACTTAATGGTGAATAAAAAAAAATGTGTAATTTTTTTATTGTTGGATGATCTATTCCTTAAATTAATTTCCTTTAATACACACAAACATATATAATAATAACAGCATTATACTGCAGAACTAATAATTATTATATTAAAGGGCTTAAGCTTTGATTATTTTAATACTTGATTGATCTACCACTGAAATCGAATGATTAATCGGATAAGAACAGTAAAGTGTACAAGTCAGTACATATTACATAGTTGAAGTCAGAATTATTAGCCCCCTTCAAATTTTTTTCTTCTTTTAAAAATATTTTCCAAATGATGTTTAACAGAGCAAGAAAATTTTCACAGTGTGTCTGATAATATTTGTTCTTTTGGAATAAGTCTTATTTGTTTTATTTCGGCTAAAGTAAAAGCCGTTTTTAATTTTTTAAACACCATTTTAGGGACAAAATTATTAGCCCCTTTAAGCTACATTTTTTCTCGATAATCTACAGAACCATTGTTATACAATAGCTTGCCTAATTACCCTAACCTGCCTAGTTAACCTAATAAACCTAGTTAAGCCTTTAAATGTCACTTTAAGCTGTATAGAAGTGTCTTGAAAAATATCTAGTCAAATATTATTTACTGTCATCATGGCAAAGATAAAATAAATCAATTATTAGAGATGAGTTGTTAAAACTATTATGTTTAAAAATGTGTTGGAAAAATCTTCTCTCCATTAAACAGAAATTAGGGAAAAAAATAAACAAGCAGTCTAATAATTCAGGGGTGAAAATAATTCTGACTTCAACTGTATACAAACATACACACATACCCCTTTCTACTACACAACATTGCCCAAAGTGCTGAAAAAACTCAATACTAATTAAATAAGTCTTACATCACATACATAACAATTAAAGCATTACATTCATACAGTATATAAATGCTTTATAACTTTACATTAGATCATAATGTTAGCTTTTAGCCTTGATACGCAACAACGCGGAAAAAATAAAGGCTTTATAACTTAACATTAGATCATAATATTAGCATTTAGCCTAACCATGCAACAGCACAGAAGAAATAAAGGCTTTATAACATAACATTAGTTCGTTAGCATAATGCTAGTGTTAGCCTTAACATGCAACACAGCGCCAAGGAAGGTAAAAAAAAGATAGTCTGTTGATAGCATGACTTTTACCATTAAACAAACACCCTTCTATTTACCGGTCCAGGAATTGATGTTTTATTTGTATTTTTTTTATGTCGGTTACTACAATTTGAATCAATTCTTTTGTAATCAATTAAATCAAATAATTTGATTAAAAGTTTCAGCCCTATTATATTATTAATATTTTTACTATAATCATGATCACTGGTATTAGAACTGAGATATTATACATTAGGGATGTGCGACTAATAAAAATCGAATCGCAATTTGAAAAGTTGCACATAATCACAAGAGGCTGCATTAAAAAATTTATATGTATTACTTAATTTAGTTATTTAGTTTAATAGCAAATGCATGACTGTCGTCTGTGTGTGACAGTCTTATAAGCCAACTGAGTGAGCTCACTTATATTCTGCCCAATCAGAATTGCGCAATCAAACAATGCGGAACGGCCACAATAAAAACAAAAAAAAACAAACAAACATACAGGTGGGTGGGATGATGGCATTTGTCGCTTCAGAACCATTAATAAATTAATTAATATCAAAGAAAAACAGCACATCGGTAATACGGGAATATTTTGTTTTCAAAGTCACAGACACCAAAAAACAAACAAAAAAGTAAGTTGTAAGAATTGTTGTCACAGCGCGAGGAAATACAACAGCACCTTAAAAGCACCACAGGTGGCTACTCTATATGAGGAGTAGCTTGCTAAAAAGTCAGCTGAAAGTATTGCCAGTGACACTTAATCTAGTAGCAAGCGACAGCAAAGTACAATTTCAGAGTTGTTTAAACCATGTTAGTTAGTGTTCTGTTTTTTTATAATTATTGTTTTTTTTATTTGTATAATAAGATACACTATCTGCCTAACTTAAGGTCAACTTATTTACAGAAAGGTAATTTTATTTATGTTCATTGTTTGCTTTAGAGAAAAATGAGTGTTTCATTTCTGAATATATCAAATAAATTTGAATAAATGTTTAAGTACGTTAATATCTTTTCAGTTCCTTTTTTTAAAATCACACTCACTGCATTTTAGCAGTAGGAAGCTATGGATTATTGAGCTGAAGCTCGACTACAAAATTCAAATCGCAAATCAAATCGAAATATATCTGTTAAAAAAATGCAATTAGATATGCCTTCCCTAAATCGCACAGGCCTATTATTCATAAAAACAGAAAATAAATGTTAAATATTATGTGTTCTGCAGCTCAACTTCTTTACAAGGTACAATCAAACTACAAAGCCTGCAGTTAATATAACAAGAAAAAAATATAAAAAGGAGGAACCTAAAACATCATTTACAAAACTGGCATTTCCTAAAATATTACTACTACTAATAATAAAAACAATAATAATACAAAAATACATTTAGAGAATTGTAGGTATTTACATCTGGCCACCATATGATGCATTCGAAATGTCATTACATGTCTACAAATTTCCCATAAAATACGAACAGCCTATAGCATTTCTTCAAAGCGATGCGCCATCCCACAAGCAAGTAATGATGAGTGTGATGGGGAAGTCATGTGAGGGTCAGGTGGTGTTTTGATTTTCTTTTACAGCTCATGTGAGTTGCCTTTATTTGGAAGTGCCTCCAAAACATCCTTACCCCACATCTCTCACCCCCGCTACACAGAAAGACCCACACCCTGTGTCTTCTATGGTCCTGGGGAGTCCCTAACCGAAAGAGTTCCTCTTTTCAGGGTGCTACTGACAACCAATATGCAAATAAGCATGACTTTGCTGTTATCAGAGATTTTGTAAGAAAGATACAGACATGAAGTGGATATTTAGTGTAGTTATTGTTACAGATAGGGTGCTAAGTGATGTTAGATACCACCAATTGAGCCACATTTCAGTTGCTTCAAATCACAAACTATACTGTACAATCCAAGAAAGGACAACTGGGCTGCCTATGTAGAAAAGCGTATTGTACTAGAGGTACAATAAGCAAAGCAGCTCCTATTGAGATGGGACTGTAGCAGTCTTTAGCCCACAGTGTACATTTCAGTGGTGGAGGGGAAAAACACACACTACAAGCTTTGTGGTTCACGCTGATCAGTGGACACTTTCAGGCTTTGACACCAGGGTGCTTGCCGGAGGTCAACTCAGTTACAGTTTTGATATGTGCAGTTTCACAAATGGACTATTGGGTTAGTCAATAACCTGCTGGTGCTTGATGTATTTGACTAGTGAGTCAAGACCAAATTTGTCTGAGACACTAGAACTACATTAGTCACGTAAACATCGGTACTATGATATTAGCTTGCCTAGTACTGTAGGTTTTATCATCTTACTACTGTGGTTGGTGAACTCTTTAGGTTTCCTTAATACACAAATGAACCAAAACTTTTTCACCACTTGCCTCATATGCCATTGGACTTCTGTGTGTTGCAAAAACAGCATCAACCCCTACTAAAAATTTTGAGTTCCACACAATTAGTTCATGTTGTCCCAACATAAATCGACAAAGTAACCTTAATCATTTTTACAAATGCAGGGCCTCGTTCACACTGATATGTTTTAGTTTTAAAACACTTAAGTTTTGGCATGGTTACACCTTTCATCCTCACTACCCCAGAGTTTTAGAGCCCTGAAAACGAAGCGTATTGAAAATGCTGAAGAGGCCGTTTTGGTTTCAAAATGCTGCTGCTGTGTGTCATTGTGGATAGGGGAAAATGGAGACATCAGAAAATGGAGATGTGGCTGCTGACATTCACCTATCTGATTGGAGCTTTTTTTTCAGTATTAAGTTCAGACTTTGCAAGTTTGATATGGAAAACAAACTCTCGAAGGCACGTCGGGTAATTCTTCAAAGGGAATAGTGTACTTTATAACGTCATTCACATAACCCTGGCTACGTTGTTTCACTATCTTCACATGAAAACATGATATAAGGAACTGCCTATTTTCATTTTGATATTAACTTAACAGACACTAAAAATGTTGAGGCATCATGTAGTTACATATTTATATGACCGTCATCTTCACTCAATGCATATTTATAACGAAACAGTGCCTATAACGTAAGTTTCATTTTCATTGAAAAAATATGAAACATACCCTGTCTCTTTTGCTGAATATTAGTTTTAATAATCATTAATGGCCATTATAAAAGTTTAGCGTACAATAAGTTTATACAATACAGGCAAGAATCAGTTACATAAATTAATATATTTATTTATCTTTGCGTTCAGCCAAAACACGTTACCTGAGAACACGTAATAGATTCAAAAGACCAAAAAGTTGTTAGATAGAGACAAGAACTTTTCAGAAATGCTAGGTGAAATGCCAGTGTGGATGTGGAAAGTTTTCTTTC